GCAGGATTATGAATGTAGTTGCAGCGTGCAAGCCATCCTGCAGTCCTGCAATGCGTCCTGCGAGACTCCATATGCAGGATAGTGTGTAAGCAGTCTCTTGAACGCGTGGCGGACTGCAATGCAGGTAGTGAATGGGCCGTTTAAATGATGTAAAGGGCAAGGGCCCATGGCGAAAGACGTTTTTTTATTATTGGTATCCCAAGTGACGTAAGTTTACGTACAAGTCCGTGCCACTCAGAGCTTTAAATCGCAAAGGGCACAGACGCTGTCACCCAGAAACAAATTGACAAGTCCCATGTGCCTGTAATTACACCACTGACCTTGAAGGGTATTTAAAACTGGAACGTAGTAATATTTACGTTAACGACATACAATTTTTTAACTGTCGCTGTGGCCGAACGGTTACCATGTTGGATTGCCACGCAGAGGTCCCGGGTTCGATTCTGAGGGAGAAATATTTGTATGGCCTACATTTATTTCTCTCGTGAGTTTGGGTGTAATTTGTGGTTGTCCATGTGTGTGTCCATGGCACCTGCAATACAGGGCTTCCCTAGTGCGGGTCTATGAGTGTGTGCGTGTTATTATTATTATTATTATATATATTTTATATTATTGATGGTCTGTGACATGCCCAGATACCGGTATGTTTCAGTCTCGCAGAGTACCCGCAGGTGATTGGTGCCAACTCGGAATGCATGACACGTCCCCTCTCGATATGGACCACCGCGCACTTATCGATCCCAAGCTCCATCCTAACCGAACTACTGAAATCGTTGGTGATTGTCAGTAGCTCCGTCAATCTGTCAGCTGTAGGGCCGTATAACTTGAGATCATCCATGTAGAGAAGGTGAGGCATTCGCGGCCCACCTCTCCGAAACTACCTCCGAAAGCCTGTGCCCGACCTCGCTAGTAGAGTACTCAGAGGGTTCAGGGCCAGGCCACAGTGGACTTAGACAATCGCCCTGGAAAATATCTCGCCTTATTTCTATTCGGTCATCCGCATCCGTCATCCGCTGACAGTCCAGACTCAGGATCGTTCTCCAACACCCCATGCATTGCCCGAGGAAGTGTCGAACTACACTATCAATTTTATATAGTTCGAGGACCTTCGAGAGCCATGAGTGGGGCACCGAATCGAACGATTTCCTACAGCTATCCAGGCAGCGGAGAAATTCCGATGGTTACGTCTGACAAGTTGGCCAACGACCGCGTCGATGAGGAGTAGCTCCTTACTACCGCGGCTACCGTCCCTACATCCGTTTTGAGCTTCAGACATCACACTGTTATCAACAATGTGCTGACTTATCTTGGAGCTCAAAACAGATGTTAGTCTTGTATATTGTACAAAGACAAGTTATGGGGCGATAATGTGATGGATCCACGGTAGCAGCGCTCTTTGGAGCTAAATGAGTGACCCCCAGTAATTAAGAAGTTTGGGAGCGTCCCACTCTCAAGGGTACTTTGGAACTGACGACCGAGAGTAGCGTGGCAGCACCAGAACCCCTTCAACCAATATCCGTAGTCCGGGCCCGGACTTTTCCAGTTCGGAGCCTTACGGACCGCTATCGCTATATTCTCTTCCGATATGCTGATGGGATCCATAGGCGGAATGGTTGCACATGCTCCCTCGACCGCTTCGAACCATGGACCCTCTTCGTGATCGACGGGCTGCGACCAAAGCCTTCGCCAAAAGGATTCTGCTTTGTCCGGATGCTCACCCGTCAAGACCACATCAGGACGCTCCAGTGTCCTATAAAACTTCTTTTGCTCACTCATGAAGAGACGATTCTGCCGATACCTCTTCACCCTTTCGGAATATCGCCGAATCCGCTTGCCCCAAGCAGCTATCTTCTGCTTCAGATCATCGATGCGCCCTGTCAGTTTTCGTGCAAACTCCGGTGAGTCTACAAAAATGTTCTCAATGAATGCTTCTCGGACAAAGCGCACCACTCTCGGCCTTGTGATGCCTGATTTGAAGCTAGCCTGGCCCATGCTATACGACCCTCAATTCGCACCATCCAGGCTGGCTTAGTACTAGTCCTAGGAGTACTGCCAAACTCGTGGTTACTGCCGGATCTTGTTGGCGGCATCCTGACGCCGACAAATTGACACACAGTCATTGCGGCAGCGAAAAGAATTGAGTCTGTCTCCCAAAGGTCTGCGCTTTCCTCTAATAATGAGGGCAGCATGTTGTTAATGGCCCCAACGGCATCTTATATTATTATTATTTTTATTACTTTTTTTTGTTAAGCGCTTGTTTATTCCATTGCAATTTTCTTTTTTGTGTTTCTTTCAGACACAATTGTTTTTCTTCTTCACGTTTATTTTACATTTCAATACATTTTATCTAAAATACATTTTTCTTTCAATTAAATCTAGATCCTGCAGTACAACGCGGATCCTCACACATTTTTACGTTACTGCGTTCCGGTTTTGAAGGGCAAGATTTGTGGTTAAATTACAGGCATGTGACTTGTAGATTTCTCTCGACAAATATTTCACCTGTCAGTGATTGATTAACCTATAAAATTACGATTATAGCTATGCTTGTCAACAGCCGCAATGCCCCTCAGATCTTTGCGACTGAAAGCTATGAGTGGTATTGCTATTACTAGGCGCACGTAATTTGGTATCATAAAACAAGGCGCCAAATGTACACTATAATAGAAAATAATTATCTTCATTAATACTGACTTCCATAAATAAAAATACAGCTGTATAAGTCTATTTAATTCTCAAAAGCCAAAAGGGTGAGTAATTACAAAGGGGAATAAATTTTTATACGGGTCATTTTATGCTCCCTTTCAAATGCATTGTGCGAAAAACTATGTGGCTGGTTCAGTATTTAAAAAGCGGCTTACAGTTGTTTCTAAATACAGATGCGACTTTTTGATATTTAATATCAATGTTATCTTTAATAAGTTACCAAGTTATATGTTGATTGTTGTTGATTGTTGTGTTGTTGAAGTTGATGTTGAAGTAGGTATACTAGAGTTTAATGACCTAGCCGTTGCCTTGCATTTTGATTTTATGGGTTTTATTTTAGTATGCTTTTGAAGTACGCTGACTAGGATATTGTACAACGGTATTTCTATTTTTTGTTCTAGGATTTTTCGAGTAGCATATCTTCAATGGAAAGGCAAAAAGTCTAAAGTCAAAATGAACTCTGTGTGTATCATTGATTTGGTTATTATTTTTCTACATCAACCTTTCCAGGTTTCGTAAGGATCTGAGCACTTTTATAGCACTTTATAATTTCAATAGTTCGACACTTTCTGGTCCGCTTATAAAGCGCTTGGAGGCTAAAATTCGCCCCTGTTAGTGCGTTAGTCTTTTAGGCGACGTAACACAAACATCATTGATAAATTTCTGACATTTATTCACAATATTTTGAATATCCAATTAATAATTAAAAATCGTTTGTATAATTTCATCTTTCAAATGTTGACATTCTATTAATTTGTCACGTTCGAAATTAGTTTACTAACATTATTGAAGCTCCACTTAGTATCGATAAGGCGAAAAATAATGTGTCAGGATCGTAGCAAGTGGAGGGCTATGGTCTCTGCCTGCACCTACGAGAAAAACTTGTTCTTCCTGACACTTAATACCATTAAAGCTATGTAAGTTGTAATTGGACGTCGTTAAGCAAAAAGGACTCAATCCACAAAATTATCAAAACATGACTTATATGTACGAAGCGGTTCCTAACGTCCTCTTAAATCAGCAAAAAAATCCAAAATATAAACATAAATAAATATCTTTGGAGTTACATAACATTATAAGTTTTGGAAATAAAACAAGAGTGAGAAACATTTTTAAACTTCAAGCTGCCATAACGCGAAGGACAACGCACATCCAGCATTGGATCCTTTTTGTTTAACTACGTCCAATTTTAATACAAAGATCGAACACTTAGAAAAAACTCCTTACATCCGGCTGGAACTCATCATAATGTTATGCCGCCATTATAGTCTCACAAGTAGAGGATCTTGGATTCGAATTCCGGCTTGCACCTCTGAGTTTCGTAATTTATGTGCGAAATTTACTTTGGAGCTTTTCGGTGAAGGTAAACGTGAGGATGCCTGTACACAGCTGCAAAGCAATCTAATGATGTTTGTGAAGTTTCCAATCTGTGTCGGGCCCGTGTGGGAACTATTGTCTATAAGCTCCCTCATTGTAAGAGAACGTCTGTGCCCAGCTGAGGAACTGTATGTAGGCTAATTATACATTATAATGTCTGTCTCACATCTAGGCAGGGACTTAGGATTTCCACCCGCTACGCTTCTATGTTTTTTCAGCAGCAGAGCTTCTTGTGACAGAGTTTGTACAGGTAAGTACTGCCACCTTACCTATTTCTGCTGCCGAGCAGTATATATTAAAAAATAACGAATAAATTTTAAATACCTTCAATATTATTGTGCAAGTAAGTATTACTATAAGTATATATAGTAAGAATTTAACCGTAAGTTGGAGAAAAAATACACAACAAGCTACACAGATAATAATAACTGTGTTAGTGTGTTTGTTCTAATATTTACATGATATCTGACACATTATGCAAATGGTACACCTTATCAATCACATAATAACTAACTTGGCATTAATTCATCAAGGTAGCCGTGTAGTGAACAGTAAGTAATGAATGATTGGTAGGTAGTTGTAAGTGGGTTAACTAGATGGCGTCTCTTTCGCGGGCGGTCTACTCTTGCCAGAATGAGATAGATGGGTTGCAACACGCGCGAGGGAGTGAGACAACTATACACTATCACTACGCCTACACCATGGCCTGAGTCGCACGCGCTCACAAAAAATCCATTCGACAAGAGCGCAGGCGCAGCGCTATATTCGCCCACAACTTCACTTCGGTCAACTTCGTCATTTAGTGGTGATCGAAACTCCGATGTGTGTGGTAGTGAAGTTTTAACTATCTAACAAATCTCACAAAAAAAAATAACAATAACTAGCAACTAAAGTACAATATCTTATTTGAACGTGTTGATTGAAACTTTAAACGTGTCTCTAGTTGTATAAATAGTATTCAAAATGTGTGATAATAACAGTCCTTCGACGCAAAGCATAGCGGACTATTTAGCTCAGTTGCTCAAAGACAGGAAGCAACTGGCTGCGTTCCCGAATGTTTTCATGCACATGGAGCGACTTCTGGATGAAGGTAGGTTGAAATTGCATTCTACTATTTATAAGCCATCGACAGGCGAGAGTGTACCAGCACCTATTAACGCATCTTGTCACCGATGTGATCATAAATCGGATGCGTCGACAAATGGTACAACGCACACGATATTACGTTTATTTTTGTCTTCGCCCCGCCGAGTTATGGTCCAGTGGAGTTTGTAATGCGATCCTTCATTTCGAAAAGCCGAGTAAAGCAGAACGTCTTGCCGACGGGGATTTGCGGTCAACATTCGTTAGATTGTCGCCAACGAAAGAGATCGGTGAAATGAATGTGTAAACGGGTTTAGTGGTCGCATTTTAGTTTGTCGTCCGATTGCGCAGCAGTTATATACGAGTTTCTTAGCGTTTTGAGGTTATAATTTGATAATTGGGGCGCGCCGAAAGGATCGCGAGACCTGAGAAGTAACCTGTTTGCAGGGCCGTGGTACATTCCGCGCGAGTTGGTGGAATGTCGCCACTTCATGTAGGTACCGTACGGTTGTCCACCGCTCGCGGGCGGTAGGCGCACGAGATCTGTGCCTACGCAGCGCGCCGCGCCGGCGCGCTCCTTGTAGCCTCGTTTTATAGCCGCTCGCAAACACTGCGGATTGCACACACCCCTTATCTGTCAGCTACTGAACGCTTACCGGCTGTCTCCTCCACTTGTAAACTAAGCTGAATTGATTAAGTTAAACAAAATGCATTGCTCAATTAAGAATAAGTAGGTAGTTAATAGAGTAGTGTAGATTGCACGCTTCCACAATTCCTGTTGAATCAGTATTTTTCATTGCTTTATATTACAAGATGACAAAATTGTCTTTTTGTCGACGGTTTCCTATCTTTTGATTAATCTGTTGACTCTGATTTGGGCAAGCACGTTAATAGATTCAATTTGTAACAACTTCTCGCAATACGAAATATTAATATATACATATATATACGTGTGCCTTCCGGTGTGATGTTGATGTTCATTAAAACGATCGTTATGGCGATAACAATTAGCGTTTGATTAATACCTACCACTAACAGTATTATATATATAATATATAAAAATTGTAAATAAAACAAAGTTTAAAAGATAAAACGGTGTAACATATTTGACGCAACCCTGGAGGAGAAATGAATCTGTGCAACCTTAAGATCATATAAAAACCTAATTAAAACAACACATAAACGGCATATTTTTATTGCCTTCTCCAACAAGACTAGTTTTAGTCCTTGTCGATCCAGCACCTTATAAGCACCACGCCATAACAACTTGATAATGGATGTACAACACTAAAAGTTGAAAAACGAGGTGTTTATATCGTCCACAGTTATTATCCACCTTCCTGTTAGTACAATGTTCGTACACGTGATGAAAGCATTGCCAATTAAGATTACAATGATACAAAAACGAGCGTGAACGAACGTTTCTTTAGAAATATAAGTTCAATAACAATTGTTTGGACAATTGTCGACTCGATATTCAATAAAAAGAACTCTAATGTGACTCCAAAATTCATTACCGACTCAAGTCACGTTTCATAGAATAGCAAGGTCTATATCAGCGACACTTATACACATCATGATACTCCACGCTAAACTTTACTGTTACAACTGTGAGAATGATTTGAAAAATATCAACGCCACATGTTTAAACAACATTGGCAGCAACTCCGAGTACAAAAGATAATGCTAATGGGGTGTTAGACTTTCACAAAGAAAAGTTTACTGCGCTGTTCACAACCTACACGCAAAAGATACCAATATCTACTCACCAAGAAAAGTCGCGATATAGAGTACAAGTAAGAACAAACAGCCAAAAAGTACTTTCTCTTACTTTATTGGGTTGCCTCTTTATACGGTTTGGAAAATAAAACGATTCGACAAATGGTAGTAGTAATAACCATAACGAATTCAAGTTGTCACTCGACTTGAAGACTTCAACATCTGTAGCTCGATCCAAATACACGCAGTCAGTGTTTACTTAAATTTAAATAAGCCGATTACGAAATGCGACACATGGATATTATGGTGGTCAGTCTTGCAAGTGTACATTAGAATGACAATTTCGAATAATTGTATGTCAATAAAATATACAAGTGTGCTAAATTGTAATGAAGTTTCGTAAACCTCTTGAAAAGAAGGTGACAAGTGATATTTTTGCAAGCTTATTGCATTGAAAACGCGTGGATGTATAATGTTAAAACGAATATAGTGGGTAATACGATTGCAACATTCTCAAAAAGTTGTTGATTTAACATTTGCCTTAAAAAGCAAGGGTCTCTCAAATTGAGGACCGAATCTTTTCTTAAATTTTGTTTTGATAAGACAAGTAAGGAGTTGAGCCTGCTTGCGTCATTCCATATTGAGCAATATCATGCTTTTCCGATCAAACGTACTCAACACTTCGATGTTTTCCAACTCGCTGTCCGATGCAAAAATTACGATCTAGTAAGAGATCGTTTTATGGTTTATTGGACACGTCGCCGCTCCAGCGTGAACTGTGTAGACTTGACGAAAATATCGACGGCGAGCTGACAGCCGACAGGCGTGGCGTATCGCGTTACGCCGAACTAAGAAATTACGGCTGCTATTTTCGACACTGGAATATTAAGTACAACAACACCATTAGGGTTGTGTAGTTGGATTCTAACATAAAGTGTTTACTTGAAGCAGAAAGATTTCAATATTCTTTTGCTTTGTGTCATTGCTAAATTAAAGTAACATTTCACAAAAATACAATGTAACGACGAGCAGTAGGTACTTATTTTATTTATTGTTGTAGTTTAAAGTTCATCCACTATTAAATCGCTTGGCAACCAGGACAGATTGTTCAACAATGCGGCTGACATTTAATAACACGGAACGTTTGATAGTCGCGAGCAATTCCATCTTAGCATGTTTACATATTAAACTATTTGGCTGTTTTGCATTCCAATAACAACTGTGCGCAACAATAACAAATACAATGCTGCATATACAAATACACAAATTCGTCACACATAATGTTGTCAATAAAACATTATTCTTGTTGCACAAGATAAAAGAGACAATCAATGAACCATTTTAGTGATAACTGATAATACACGGCAATAATGTGCCAGATTTATTGATAATTTTTATCTTCTTCACTTGCAGATTATGTTTCGATAACAAGTAAAGCTTGTTTAATAGCCTTTAAATCATTCTTATCTATGGTTACCATAGTGTCTTCCCTGTACGAAACGTATTAAGACGAGAAACTGGTTTTCATCAATGCTTTCGGTTTCTTACTAAGTCCCAAATATTATGGTTTCAGTATTAATATATTATATCAAGCAATTCCAGTTATTGGTGTCTTTGTTAAACTTACGTACTACCTATGATTACGCTTAAGCAGTCTTGACCTCAAAGCATTAAAATGAAATCAAACTAACAAACAACAGCAATATTGCAATAATTGTCTTTTGATGTGTAGGCGCCACCTACCTACCATTGAAGCAGGTTCCGCAACCCTTGCAATTTTGAGGCTTATTTAGGTCATTATAAGGTTGCTTAGATGCGATTAGGTTGTGCCCACGCCGATGACCAAATGAGGGTAGTCGTGGGTAGCGCGGAGGTGTAGAAGCCAAGGCTGTTCCAGTCGCTACAAACACGTCGCAACATGCTGTGGGTTGCTTAATTAATATGATTCAAGTCATCGATATTTAGATGGTCGCCGAATTAACTGTCGGACGGTCCGACTATTTGTCACTGCTTAAAATAGATGTTTGATTTCCCATTTAATTTAAACATGGGCATATGGTACAACGTGCTCTGTGAGGAAAGGTTGCGACGGAGAAATTTCAGAAATGATTCATACCCGTTGCAAGTGTTGACACGCGACTCATATCGCTTCGACCTCGATTAGGCTGTACTTGCATCTCTAGAAAACTAGATCGCACAAGACGACCGACCATTCTTTACCCGTTCCCACGACACTGCCTCTCTAGTATCTAACAACACTCGATTCCACCGACGTGATTGCTCTACTAATGAGAGACGCTTTTTCTAGGGTCATGAAAACACATGCACACTAACTGTGCGTGCATCAGTAACTGTCATTAGTTAACTTGAAACAATGCCTATAATCGTCGGGTTCTCAGGAAATGTCTTCTTCTTCTACATAGCTATTAGGTTTTGATTGCACGTTTTTAGTGCATAGTATCTTTTGACTTGGACACGGCACACAGTCAAACATCTGTGACTGTGACACCTACTTGGAATGTTAATGAAAGCTGGTGACCATTACTCTCGAGCGTACTTGAACACATAAGGAATGCGTTCGGGAAGGGTGCGTGGGTTGCGGCGCGTGTGCACTGTAATTTGAAATGAAAATCGATCGCTTCAGAATGCGTGAACCTGTCCTGTGGGTGGGACCCTCGAGGCCTACGCGTACCAAACCAACAATCCTAACACCATCGCTTTTAGATTTCGGTTCCGTAATCAAAGTCACACCATTTCGGCTCCTACGCGGTTCACTATGATTTATTGTCAAATGAGCTTATGGAAACTTCAGTTTTATTCATTGTTTGAAAGAATAATGTGGCGCCTAGAAATAGAAAGTTGTCGATACATAAATAAAATAGAAACGAGTGCATAAATAAATCAATACGAAGCTAGAAACACTTAATCAACACGCGTTTCAAATCTTTATCTTTTGTTAGCACAATGAAACTGGGGAATCCAATTATGCCAAATGAGACGATATTAACAGCTTGTTCGCACAAACGTTTGTTCCCAAGTAATTTCCACTGATAAATTTCTTTATGACACATTGGCGAACTTTGCATTTACGATACGTTAACTTTAACGAAAATAGATCGGTTATTTCATGCTTAAACCTGACTCAGCATCTTAATTTAAATAGTTGCAGCAGCGTACCAGAGCATAATTAAATTTTATTGGACCCCTCGCAATGAGGTGTTTAACATAAGTGAATATTCAGCATGTAGTCAGTCTTAGAACAAGACATTGTAAACAGCATGCAACAAA